CGCTGTTCTTTTTCTATGCTAATTCATTTAATTCTTTCAAACTTACGAAACTTTATTTTTGGGTGTCACCTGGTGGCTCAGTCATTAAGCATCTGCCTTGGGCTTAGGTCATGATTCCAGGGTCCTGGGATGGAGCCCTGCATCAGGCTCCATGCTCAGCAGGAAGCCTGCTTCTCCTTTTCCCACTCCCCCTGCTTGTGTTCCCTCTCTCTCTGCCTCTCTCTCTCTCTGTGTCAAATAAATAAACAAAATATTTTTTAAAAGAAACTTTATTATTTTATTTTATTTTTGTATTTTTTAATTTTTTATTTAAATTCAATTTAGTTAACATAGACTGTATTATTAGTTTCAAGGGTAGAATTTCCTGATTCTATGCATATGACCCAGTGCTCATAAGAAACTTTGTATTTTTAAAGACTTTATTTCTTCATTAGACAGAGAGAGCACACAAGCAGGGGGAGACACAGAGGCAGAGGGAGAAGCAGGCTTCCTGCTGAGCTGTGAGCCCAATATGGGGCTCAATCCAGGACCCGGAGATCATGACCTGAGCTGAAGGCAGACACTTAACCATCTGAGCAGGCACCCCAAGAAACTTTTTTTTTTAAAGATTTTATTTATTTATTTGACAGAGAGAGCGCACAAGCAGGGAAAGTGGGAGAGGGAGAAGTAGGCTCCGATGCGAGGTTCCATCCATAGTTTCGCCTTTTCCATGACGTCATAGAGTTGGACTCATACAGTATCTAGCCTTTTCAGATTGGCTTCTTTCATTTAACAATAGGTATTTAAGGTTCCTCCTTGTCTTTTCATGGCTTGATAGCTCATTTCTTCTTAGTGCTGAATTATATTCCCTTGTCTGGATCTACCACAGTATATCCATTCAGATATTGAAGGATATCTTGGTTGCCTATCTATTTTGGCCATTTTGAATAAAGCTTTTACAAACATCTGTGTGCAGGTTTTTGTGTGGATATAAGTTTTCAATTCATTTGGGTAAATAATAAGAAGAGCAATTGCTGGATCATATGGTAAGAATGTGTTTCATTTTGTAGGAAACTGCCACACTGTCTTCCACAGTGACCTGCACTGTTCTGCATTCCCGACAGCAATGAAGAGAACTTCCTGATGCAGACCTCCTGAGAGTGCTTGGTTTTGTCAGTATTCTGGGTTTTGGCCATTCTAATGGGCGTGTAGTGGAATCTCACTGTTGTCTTAATTTGCATTTTCTTATGACATCTCACATACAGCATCTTTTCAAATGCTTATTTGCCATCTGTGTGCCTTCTTTGGTGAGGTGTCTATTCAAGTCTTTGGCCCATTTTTATTTTTTTATTTCATTTTTAAATCTGGAAAGAGAGAAGGAGCCCAGGTATTTTTTTTTTTAATTTTATTTATTTATTTGACAGAGAGAGAGATCACAAGTAGGCAGAGAGGCAGGCAGAGAGAGGGAGGGGAAAGCCGACTCCCTGCTGAGCAGAGAGCCCAATGCGGGGCTCGATCCCAGGACCCTGAGATCATGACCTGAGCTGAAGGTAGAGGCTTAACCCACTGAGCCACCCAGGCACCCCTTTGGCCCATTTTTAAATAGGATTATTTTATTGTTGAGTTTTAAGAGTTCTTCAGATATTTTGGATAATAGTCCTTTATCAGATGAGTCTTTTTTTTTTTTTTAATTTGACAGACAGAGATCACAAGTAGGCAGAGAGGCAGGCAGGTGGGGGGTGGGGAACAGGCTCCCCGCTGAGCAGGGTGCCCGATGCGGGGCTCAATGCCAGGACCCTGAGATCATGACCTGAGACCAAAGCAGAGGTTTGACCTACTGAGCCACCCAGGTGCCTCCTCAGATGAGTCTTTTTACAAATATTCTCTCCCAGTCTGTGGCTCGTGATCTCTTAATATTGTCTTTTTCAGAGCAGAAGTTTTTAATTTTTAAGAAGTTCAGCTTATCAGGGCACCTGGATGGCTCAGTCAGTTGAGCATCTCCCTTCAGCTCAGGTCATGATCTCAGGGTCCTGGAATCAAGCCCTGTATCAGGCTCCTTGCTTGGCAGGAAGCCTGCTACTCCCTCTCCCACTCCTCCTGCTTGTGTTCCCTCTCTTGCTGTCTCTCTCTCTGTCAAATAAATAAATAAAATCTTAAAAAAAAAAAAAAAGTTCAGCTTATCAATTTTTTGTTTCATGAATCATGCCTTTGGTGTTGTATGTAAAACTCATCACCATAATATCAGCTGTAGCAACATTTTTCTAGATGTGTCTCCTGAGGCAAGGGAAACAAAAGCAAAAATAGACTACTGGGACTACATCAAAATAAAAAGCTTATGCACAGTGAAGGAAACAATCAACAAAACTAAAAAGCAACCTACAGAATGGGAGAAGATATTTGCAAATGACATATTCAGTAAAGGCTTAGTATCCAAAATGTATAAAGAACTTAATGCAACTCAACACCAAAAAAAACATATAATCCAATTCAAAATTTGGAAGAAGATATGAATAGGCATTTCCCCAAAGAACACATACAGATGGCCGGCAGGCACATGAAAAGTCGCTCAACATCACTCATCATCAGGAAAATGCAGATCAAAACCACAATGAGATGTCACCTCACAACTGCCAGAACAGCTAAAATAAAAAACACAAGAAACAACAAGTGTTGGAGAGGATGTGGAGAAAAAGGAATGCTCGTGCACTATTGGTGGGAGTGTAAACTGGTGTGGCTACTGTGGAAAACAGTATGGTGGTTCCTCAAAAAATTGAAGACAGAATTAGTGTATGAACCATTAATTCCACTACTGGGTCTTTACCCAAAGAATATGAAATCACTAATTTGAAAAGATATATGGAACCCTGTGTGTATTGGGGCGTTATCTACAATAGCCAAACTATGCAAGCAGCCAAGTGTCCATGGATAGATGAATGGATGAAAAAGAGATGGTCTGTATATACAATGGAATATTATTCAGCCATCAAAAAAAATTAAAATTTGCCATTTGCAACAACATATTGGAGCTAGAGAGTACAATGGTAAGTGAAATAAATCAGCCTGAATAAGACAAATACCATATGATTTCAATCATATGTGGAATTTAAGGAACAAAGCAAACAAAGAAAAAAGAGACAAACCAAGAAAGAGACACTTAACTGTAGAGAACAAACTGATGGTTGCCAGAGCGTGGGGTTGGGCGGGGATAGGTGAAGGGGATTAAGAGTACCCTTATCATGATAAGCACCGAGTAATGTACAGAATTATTGAATCACTATATTATACACCCAAAACTAAACAGAACATTGTATGTACATACACTGGAATTAAAAGTAAATTAAAAAATAAAGGTCATCTGGGTTCTCACCTACGTTACTTTCTAGCAGTTTTAAAGTTTTGTGCTTTACATTTAGGCCTATGATCCATTTTAATTATTGTAAAAGCTGTAAAGTCTGTGTCTAGATTCATTTTCTTGCCTGTGGATAGCCAGTTGTTCCAGCAACTGGAACTAGAGACTAAGACTAGAGGACTAGAGAACAAAGACTAAACTCATTTAAATTTCAAAATCGACTTTGAGGCTCTGCCTTATTTATCCCCATTGCTCAGATGAGCAAACTGAGGCACAGAGTGGTTTTTATCAGTCACCCAGGGCAACACAGGGAGTACTTGACAGGGATCTGAACCCACGTAACCTGACACCAGAGTCCATACATTCAATCCCTATCTACATTAACAGCCTCTTTGTCATAGTTTTTTTGTGAGGAACACAGATGGTTCCTAGCACATAGTAGGTACTCAGGAAGCAGTAATGGTAGCATTGTCCAGCCCAGTCCAAGGTTTCACTCAATATCATGTTCTCAGAGAAGCTTTAGTTCATTCCTCCAGGCTAACCAGCCAACCACTGGAGGGCTATTTCATCCTAGGGATGACAGACAGCCTGTACCCTGCTTACTCCTCTGGTGTACCCTACATACAGTCACAGGTCGCTTCTATGTGAGTTCTGCCGAGAGGCTCCATGTCTGATTTCTCAGTGTCCCCCAGACCCCTGGGTGCTGCACTGGGCAGCCTCTCAGTGAAAGTTTGTTTAATTGAGTTGGGGTGGCCTGCTCTTCCTTGACCCAAAATGCACATCCTGGGTGTGGTCTATTCCTCAGGATATCCAGGCTCTGACTCACATCTTTGCTCCTGAGCCCCCCTTGCTCCAACCTTCCCTGATCTGTCAGGTTGGGCCACCCTAGTCTGCAGAAGTTCTCAGTTCCCTCCAAACTCAAGACATAGCGCCTAACTTGGAGGCCTGCTCTCTAAACCCGTCTCGCCTCTCCCAGGACGTCTGAAATCCCTCTTTGGCGGGTAGAGCATGTCACTGAATGTTTAGCAGGACATGACAGACCCCGGCGACCTCATTCCAAAAAGCTTATGAAAGGCATTAATCTTAGCATTGTTGGACTGGTTTGGGGGCTAAGTGAGTGCCCCTGAGGGCTGTCTCCTGGGCCCTGGTATACCCCTCAGGCAGCCCCACTTGAGTCAGGGCTCTCTCGGACCAAGCTAACCACAAGCCCGTGTCAGCCTTGGGGAGTACATTCTGCCTGGGCCACCGTGGACATGCCGGCAGTGCCTGCTTTGGACTGAGCCATGTAGCACCATCCAGCAGCGCCCTATGTCCATCTCTGCAGAGCCACCCTGGGAAGATGCGACCAGCAAGACTCAAATAAATGCTTCCTCCGGACAGCACTGCCCAGGGCAGCACCCTCCTGGACACGGGTCCAGCGGCGGCCATGGGAGGAACTTGTTCTCTCCAGGAGGGCACGGTGCCTGCCCTGGGCGTGCCCAGCGGCCTCTGGTGCCCCGTGCACGCAGGAGCTCCAGGCGGGGCCTCTCGAACGCGGACAGAGGGCTCCCGGAGCAGCGCCCGGTGCCCACATGGCCCGTCCTTGAGGCGCGCCCAGCCGCTGCCAAGAAGGCCGGGCGTTTATCCCCGGAGCCGCCAGCAGGGAGCTCCCTTTCGGTTCGGCTCGCGCGGCGGCGGGGGGCGGCGCTGCGCTGCGCCGCGCTGCGCTCCAGCCCGGACCGGGCCGGGGCCGCTGGATGCCGCGTCTCCGCTTCTGCTGCCTGCCGGGCGGGCTCCGGCGGCAGGTGAGCACGGTGCGGCGGGGGCGGCCGCTCGGGGACGGCCCGGACCCGGTGGGGCGGCGGGGCGGGCTCGGGCCGGGAAGGCGGGCGGGCGGCGGGGCCCGCCGGCTCCTCCTCCCCCACTGTCCCCTGGAAGCGGCGGCCCGGACTCCCGGCTCCGGTCCCCGGCTGCGCGGCGGGGCTCGGCGCCCAGGAACGGGGAACCGACCGGGAGGGGCGGGGAGGGGAGCTCTGGCCCTTTTGGTCGGCTCCGGGGCGCGCGGAGGCAGGGCAGGGTGGCCCTCGGGTTGGGGGGGGCGGAATTGAGGGCTTGGGGGAGCCCAGGTGGCCCGGAGCTGCCCGGTGGAGGCTGCAGCCTCCGGGATAGGGGGCTTCTCGGGGGCAGGCCCAGGCCCCCCAGACCGAGCGAGCGAGGGAGGCTCTGAGCGAAGCAGCGGGGAAGGCGAGCACCTCCACCGAGCCCTTTATCCCTCCCAGCGGCCTTCACCCTTTCACTGCCAGGCCGACTGCGGGCTCCCTCTCAAAGGAGCAGCTGCTAGACAGCTGGCAAAACAATGGAGACCCCGCTTCCCCAGACCCCCTCCCCGGGGATAGAAGATGGGGTGAGTGAATGGTAGGCTTTGGAGACTAGGGAGTGCTGGCTGTCCCCCGTGCCTGGGTGTCTGGTTGCTCACCTCACCTTTCCCTGCAAAGGGGTGGGGTGTGTGTGGGAAGGTCGGACAGCCTGCCCCAGGCCTCTGGGAGCGACTGCCCGGACGCCCCGCCCTGCTAACCTGTCATGCCAGTTGTTTCGCCAATGGGAAGGGGAGGTGGCAAGGTTAGCTGCTCCCCACCCCCGTGTTGGGGTGGGGAACGGGTGCTGCTTGGTACCAAGCATGGTGAGGAGTGGGTCATGTTCCTGGCTGAGATAAGGCCTGCAGGGACATACCACACATGGGGCTTTGTTGGGGGAAGGGAGGGGGGAAATGGGGATGTCACCCTTTTGCAAGGCACATGTGTCCTGCTGATTAGTTAGAAAGGCTGCCACCCAGAATGAAGGGGCGGGAGGAGGATGGGGTTGGAGGAAGGCGGACAGTATGTTTTTTAAGTGGTGCTCCTTTTGCCTGGTCACTCGGCCCATGGGGCATGTGTTTGGCAGTGTCCCCTTGGTTTGTGTTTGTGTAGAGAGGCCCCAGGACAATGCTTCCTGGGAGGGGCTCTCCCGCCTAGTGCCTTCCTGCCCTCAGATGGACCCCCCAAATTATGGAATCAGATTCCCTCCCCCCCTTCACCTGGCCAGTGATTCAGGCTGGTTTGTGTGGGCTCATTTGTCTTTGGAGTACCTGGCATGTGTAGTGCTGAGGAGGCCTTGTAAATCCCCCCAAGGACACTGAACTGTCGGAAGTAAGCATGCAGTGGGTCTGTGCTGGAAGGGAGGGAAGGTCAACCAGCAGGTAAAGAGTGAGATCGCTTTAGCCAGACGTTGAATCCAGGCTGTCAGGCTGCCTTTCCATGTGCTTATGAGATCTGAAGCCCTTTTCTTGGGCAGGTTGGTTTCCTGTTGTCATGGCAATGGGCCAGGCCTTGTCTAACTTTCCCCACCCTTTTGGTTCAGAAGCTACTTTCTATTTGGGGATATTGAAAGTTGCTCTCCTGAGGTCTCTGGCTTCCTGACAGACCTCACTGGCTCTTTGTCAGTGGCCTGCCACCTCCTCAGCTTCCCCTCTGTCCTTTTGTGATGAGGGCTTTCCAGGAAACATCCTCCTGGTTGCTGGACATGGCTAATTATATATAGCCTGGGGTGTGCTTGTCCATTTGGGGTTGGGGACATTGGTGTGCTGGGGCAGGGGCCTCGATTCCAGGAAGGTGACAGGGGAAGCTATTGTGTTGGAGGGTTAGGACAATGAGAAGGGTCGCAGGTGGGGGTGGGTGGGATCGAGTGCTGGTGGTCACTTCCTTTGAAAGCTTTGAACTTTGAACCGTTGATGACCTGGTGCCTGGCAGCTCTGAGAATCTAGTTTGTTTACGCTCTCCAGGCCTGGCTCAGGTGCCAGGGTGTGTGCCTGAAGGCTTTCTCGGGTGCCCCAGGCTCTCCTCAGAAGCCCTCACTGTGGATTGTGCCCTTCCTGACTTTCCTGCCCGGTCCCTCAGCCTCACTCCCTGGCAGCCCAGGGAAGCCAGCCTGGAGCCTGGAGCCCCCTTCACCGGCCCAACTCCAGGCTGCTCATGAAGGGGTGCATGTATCTTCAGAAATTGGGCCTGAGGGGCACCTGGGTGGCTCAGTGGGTTAAAGCCTCTGCCTTCGGCTCAGGTCATGATCCCAGGGTCCTGGGATCGAGGCCCACATCGGGATCTCTGCTCAGCAGGGAGCCTGCTTCTTCCTCTCTCTCTGCCTGCCTCTCTGCCTACTTGTGATCTCTGTCAAATAAATAAATAAAATCTTAAAAAAAAAAAAAAAGAAAGAAAGAAATTGGGCCTGAAACCTCCAGGGTCCCCCAGAGGCAGGTCCCCGAAGGTGGACTGGGTGGGGCAGAAGTGAGGCTAGCGTGAAAAGGAGAATCCACCCAGCTCGGGTGGAGCAGGGAGTTGCTGGAATTCAGGAAACCTTGATCCACACTTGGTGTGTCACAGGTCTCCAGAGCAGCAGGGCGGTTCTGGTTCCTTCAAACCTGAGGTCTGTACTCCCCCCCACACCCTCCCCCCCGCCACCAGACACCCCTCACCTGAAGTGGACACCATGGACTGGACCTCCATCACCCAGGTCCGGTGAGCCGGGTCCTGCTGGTGGCTCTGGGCCCCAGGTCTCGTCCCAGGCCTCTCCTGGGTGTGGTGGGTAAAGCTGAGGGGCTCTAGCCTGGCGTAGTTTAAAGGTTCAAGGGTGTGAGAGTGGTTCCCCCAGGACTGGGGCTGGGGGGTTTGATGGAGCTTTGAAGTTCTACTTTGGGTCAGGCTCGTGGGTGTTTGAGGATCTGCTCACTCTGCCCCCACCCCTGTCACCATAGGTTAGGGTTAGGAGGGGTGGGGAGCAGAACTGGAAAGCCTCCACTCCTCTCCCCACCTCCTTTTCCTTGAGGTGGGACCTGTGTGGCTTGTAAATTATCCATATTCCCTTGATGGTTCAAAGAGCTTACAGTCAGGCAGGACTTTAAACTGTGGACTGAAGTTTTTACAGGGCGCAGGGCCCTTTCTCTCTGCCAGGCACTTTACCATCACTTACAAGGGATTCTTTATATTATTCTCGGAGATTCAGAGATGTTGGAGGATGGGCTCAAGGTCACACAGCAAGCACAGGCAGAGCAGGATTAGAACCTTTGCAATTTAGAGTTGAACAGAGTATGTCTCCAGCAAAGGCAACGCTTGCGGCCAAATCTGAAGTCTCAGGCCCACGGAGATTTTATAGTTGAAATAGCTGAGGGCTACAGAGGGGAAAGGACTTGCTCAAGGTCACACAGAAGGGAGGGGGGGAGTAATGTTCCCTGAGTTCAGCGCCCAGCCGGCTGCGGAAAACCCCGCGGGGAGCCGAGGAGGTGCCCCTAGAGGAGCAGCGGGGCACTTGGCCGCGCCGCTGGCACGTCTCCCGCTGTCGTTCCTCCCGGGGCCTGCGGGATCCCTGCGTTCCGGGGGAGACGGTATCGCGGCGGGAGGCACCGCGGGCCTGCGGCTGCCTGGAAATGCTCGGCGCCGCGGGTTCCGAGGGAGCGGGAGCCGGAGCCAGCGGGCGGGCTGATGTCATGTGAGAAGCGTGCAGTCGGAGCGAGCACACCTGGAGCCAGATAAGCTCCGTGTGATCTGGCAGTGAGTCACGGGGTGCTGCGGAGCTCTTAGCGCGACCCGTCGGGAAGAGGCTCGGTGGCAGCGGCCGGTGTCACCCTGCGCTACTCGGTTGAGGCGGCCCCCCACTCGCCCTCCCCCGCCGCCGGGGCGGGTCAGGTGCCGCGCGAGCCCCGCCGGGTCGTCTTTGCAATCCTCCTTGTGGAGCTGGCGCCGAAAAAGGCCTCTGGGCTGTAGGAAACGGCCGCTTAGGGAGGTCAGAGGCCAAGGGAGAGAGGCCGGCTCTCTTGGGAAAGTATTTCCTTTGTATTTATTTATGAGTGTGGTCTGGGAGTGGGGTGTGGGGGACTGACCCTTTTTAGTGTCCACCCACAGCAGCCAAGTCTGGGCGCCTGGTCTTGGGATTCTAACGTTATAGTTTCCATTTCCTGGGGTTTCTACTTTGCCAGCTGCAGGGTGACCCATTTAAATCTGTCCCCTCTTAAAGCCACAAGACACCAGTGAGATCTATTTTAACCAAGTCCCCCAAGTCACTGAAACTTTTCCAAGGCATGAGATGGCAAGCCTTGAACCTGCCCATTGCAAACTTGGTTCACAGTTCTCACGCTAAATGGATTGTCAAGCTTTTCTTTTTTTCGTTTTCTGTCCTTTTTAATCTTTAAAAATAGCAAAATTAACATATTCTGGGAAAAGGTTTAATTCCTAGGAAGTCTATTAGATAAAAAGCTAAAGTGGTATTCCCTGTTTGCTCCAACTGCACGAAAACCCCAGATAAAATTATGTAATGGATATTATATATATGGGTACATATGATACATATTTATGATAGATTTATATATAACATTATATTACATGATACAATTTAATATAAATATAATTTTTTTCTGTAGGAAATAAAGAGCATACAGAAAAGTAGAAGAAATGTTATATATAATCCCACTATCTAAAGTCCCTAGGCCTAGATACACACACACACACACACACACACACACACACACTAGCTAAATATTCTCATTGTAAAAAAATAGAACAATACAGATGAAACACAAATCTGCTTTGACTCTTCTAAAATCTGTCTCTTCCCGAAAGCATACATTTTTCTATGCATATGCAAATATTGCATATACATAATACATAATGCACATACATACATAATGCACATGCATATATGTGCACACATAAACATAGTTTTAAAAATATATGATTTTAAAAATTAAATATTATCTGACAACTTGGGTTTTTTCACTTAACAG